CCGATGGGTGTTGCCTCCCATGTGTGCCCGGACTGGGGACCAAACCCCTCCTTCCAACCCAGGCACGTGCTCTGATCAAGACTGAACCCACGACCTTTTGGTTTACAGGAAGACATTCCAACCAACCAAGGGACATGGAGCCAGGGCTTGATGGGTATTATTATTTCTGTTTTAGAGAAAACTGAGGCTTAGATTAGTTATCAAGATCAAAAAGTTAGGTGGCCACTAAGTCCAAAGCTACCTAAGAGTCAAACGCAGCATTTGAACTCAAGGCTACCTGGAGCTTACAATTTCAGGTGTCTTTGACTCTTTCCTTTTTTCAACCATAGCTGAGCTGTGTTCAAATATTACCTCTTTTTTCTTGAGTCTCTTGTACCTGTTTCCTTACTATTGACACTGGCAGTATCCTGACCAAAGATCCTACCAAAGCTTGCCTGTTTATTGCAATATATGATCATCATTTTTCTAATCTTGTCTGTTTACTTCTGTGGGGTTAATCTTCCTAAACTGCACATCAGGGTAATACCCTTGCAGTTTTGACAGAATTCCCAAAGGAAAGCAAACTTGGTAAAAAGAAAGAACTATGAAGGCTTACAGAGAAACCTCAGAGATGTAAATTAACTGCTGAAGCTACCTCTTATTCTGCCCTAATTGCAATTTAAAGCAAAAAGAGAGGCCATTATGGAGAAAAGGGTCCACAAGGACTAATTTAAGAGAAGTGTAGTAAGGAGACAGAACATAAGTTTCTATTATGACCATATAAAATGGAAAATAAAAGTTTACAGGCTTTACTCCTATTTTTACTTAAAAAGTTGTATGTCCTAAATATTAAATAAAAAGCTTTTAAACATGTGCAAATGCTTCAGTTCCTTTTAATGTTTTAACAGTTTTCTACCTTAGTTTGATGCACAAATTTTATAAGAATTTCTAATTCCAACTAAATTCCATCTTGGGCCAAGAACTTTCAGAAGTGGTGGCATAGTCACTCTTATTTTTCTCACCTATGACTTCAAGAAAGTCTCTTTTAACTTTCTACATCTCGCACGCCCTTCGGCAGCATGCACACTAAACTTTCTACACCTTACTCTCACTGTCCATAAAATGAAGGTTTGACTAAGATGGTGGCAAGTACTTTAAAATTCTACTTTGAAACTAAATTTGTATTAGTGAGGTAGCTTTTAGATGCTTAGGAAGTTTTAAAATAGAAGATAAGCTTTCCAAGAAAAAACTACAACTCACTGAATGTTAATCTTCGGTTTCTACGCTGATTTGAATGTTGCACGACTCATGTGTATATTTCCGAGTGTATCCAGAACAGTATGGGTGTGAGTGGGCACGCACGCACAACACACTTCATATACATAAATAACCTGTGGTCAAAAATAACAACCTGTTCATTCGGCTTTAATGATTCAAACGCCTTTTAGTGGCTCTAAAAAAAAAGGCTTTCGATAATAGGATGTGTAAAAAAATAGTTGGAATTTTCTGTCAGTTTTCATTGGCCCTTTCATTACCAGACCTCTCTTTTCTATCTGTAAGGGACATGAACTATATAATGGCTATTGATTTAGAGAGTATATGGCGTCTTAGTGGGGGTATTTAGTTTCAGAAGGTTTTCCCATCCCTCCATCAGACCAGCACTTTCTAGGTTGTGAAGTATGTGACAGGACCAGTGAATGCCGCGGTCATTGCCCACTAAACTGCCCTAGTGGGTACCCTAGGTCAAAGGCAGTATTATGTAGGATACATACTAATGGACCAAACGCTTGTAAAGCCTTGGATAGTAGTGCTGGCCAACATCTTGCAGGCAGGAAAGGCAAGCTCATTCCTGGAGATGGAAATATTCTAGTAAAGATGAATCACTGTCCTTCTCGCCTAGAAGCCCGATGTAATTAACTTGCTACCAAACATCAGCTTGGTTTCCTTAAGGGATGGTGTTGTATCAAAGGCTCAGGGTTGAACTTTAGGGAGTGGCTCTAGATGAGTGGAAGCTATGCTGTTCTCCTCTTGCTAACCTGCATCTCTTCAACATGACTACTTTGTTCATGAACCCATCATGACACTACTGGGGTAGCTGATTACAGTTGCTGAAGTTAACTGGCCAAGTCTTTTGTTTGCATGGCTGTTGAGTGCTTCTTCCATGGTAGACTGTCCCTGGTAGGCACTGTTACACTATACAAAGTTTCTCTACACATGTGCCCCAGCCCAGAGTTCTCCACTGCTTCTTCCCCAGGCTTCCTTGTCTCTGACCTCCCGGTCTTTCCCGTTCTGGGCCCCTGCTCAACCAGCCAACTTCTTTGCCACTTGCCATGGAGGTACAGTCTTACTTCAGGCCACTGCTCTTCCCACACAGAGTCGATGACCAGAATATTCCCCCAGATGCTACCTTTCAGGAAGATTTCCCTCACGGCTACCTTTTAAGACCACTCCTGGGTAGGGCCATAGGGTAACAGCAGATTATTTTTGTTTTGAAAATATACATAAATAACCTGTGGTTATTTATGTATACATAAATATACATAAAATATACATAAATATACATAAATAATCCATATTCCAAGAAAATCAATCAGTGAACTTAGCCCTGGCTTTTTTGTCCTCCTTCCGTCAGACATAAGAGCCTCTCAAGCAGCCAAAATTGTGAGCTGAAGAAAGGACATTGGTGCAAGAATGATAAGTATGACATGGGAGTCTGGGCCACCTGGCTGTGCACCTGTTTCCTCTGGCCCTGACTGCCATCAATTCCTGATGCCCCACTTCCGTCTTACGATGGACTGACTTAGTGGGTCTGACAACACCCAGCCCATACTGCACACTGTGGTTACAGGGTCATTTGATGTCTTAAGAGATGCTCAGTTCCTTCAAGGCCCATTAGCATGCGAGGAACCATTTTTGAATGACATGTTCTCTGCTGCAGATGACCTGGCCTTGCTGCAGAACCCTAGGAGTCTACCCTGCGACTCCCCTATTGGAGCTTAACTCTCATGGCTGCTCTGCTTATTGCAGATACTGCTGCCCAAAAGAATCTCCTGGAATGAACGGCCCATCTAACAAGACTACAGTGCACGCTGCACCTGCTACAGAGTTGTGCATGCTCTGGATCCCACTGAAAACTGTCACCCGGTATGAGTCAGAGCAGTATTCCCAAACTGTCAATTTCCACAAAGACTAAGGAGCTTACTGTGTTTCTTTGGGGGCAGGATATTAATAAAATGAGTAAGATGCAAGAATTTGTTCTTTACTGTGAAGCAGGCATCTTGGCATTTAAGCAGATCACTGGCCCCCCCAAATTTCAGAACCATGTCAATCTTCTTTCACCAGTGATCACTCAGGGCCGATACATACATCACGTTGAATGAATTCATGCAGGTGCTGCCCATCCATAGCTAAAGGCAGGAAGGTAACTCCTTAGCCCCTGGACGTGTGGCTCTGTGACTCATCTTCCTCACTGTTTGCCCCTGCCTTCCTCCCCACATTGGCTCAAGCCCCAGCTTGGCATTTTTACTTAGAGGCAAGAAAGCCACGTGTGAGAACAAACTCAGTATGTACCAGAGGAGATGACGAAGGCAAACATAGAAAGGCTGCTTTTGTGATGGGATCACATGACAGCCAACACTTCCTGGGGGCTTACCGTGTACAAGACACTTACTCTTCTTTAATCCTCACAGCAGCCCCCACCTTCAACACATCTCTCATTGCTGCCTCTGTTCCAAACTGACCTACTGGCAATGTTCCAAACATTTTCGGAGCATTCAAACTCCTGCGCCTGTTACTCTCTTCAACTAGAATCTTTTTACCCTGATTCCACTTACTAAAATTCTACCCAGATTTTAAGCCCCAGTTCAAGTGCTGCCTCTCTAAAGACTTCACCATTCATTCCTCAGAACTTTTCTTCCCCACCTTTGCACTCCTACAACATGCTATCACCGCTGGCACTTATTTCATTGTACTCCAGTTCTCTGAGTATTTGTGTTATTTCTGCTGCTAGGGTGTGAGCTCTGCAGAGGCTGGAACAGTGTCTAATGAATATATCCTATAGCTCATGTGTATAGTAGACACTTAATATTTGTGGAATAACACACACAACACCAATCCCGTCTTCAGCACCACTGTCTCGGGAAGGACAAGCAGCCCAGCCCATCCCCAGCCAGCCAAATGCTTGGAACCATCACAGCCCTGATAAAGCCACACACTTTTCTGTATTTCCCTTGTCAGGCAAACAAGCCCAGATGGCTTCAAAGTGCACGGAAACAAAGCACTGAGAAGCAATTCTCCACCATTAGTCATCCCAAAGGTAAATAGAGATTCTCTACCATTAGTCATCCTAAGGGTAAACAGTGCTGATGGCAGACAGCCAAAGAATAAGGTAAGGCCTGAAAAACTCTACAGAACATCTCACATTCCCTACAGCTCCTCCAGCTGGTTTTGATGTTGTCGGCCGGGGAAGGGAGATGAAAAGGGAGCCTGAAGCCTTTAAAAATCTGAGGTTTTAATGTGAACTTTTAAAATAACTAGCACTTGGCAGCTAATGCACAAGCTTAAGACTGAAAATCTAGTTCCCTACAATATAAAAGTCATATTATCCCTTTTTCTACCACAATAAATCCAGTAGCTAAGACATGCACCACCCCCCACAAAAACACAGGCATTTAGGAATGCCACAGTAGGGAAATAGAGTTAATACACTAGAGTAATTTTTTTGTCCCCTTCCCTCCATATTTTGTCAGTGGTAATAACAAAGCAGCACCATTTTAATGCCTTGATATGGACTCCACTGCTTAGTCCCATCGATTTTATTTCTTAAGTCCATCCACCTCCCAATGCCACCACCCTAGTCCAAGCCACTGTCACCTGGACAACCACAGGAACCTTCTCACTGGTCTACTTCCATCCTGGCCACCCTCCAGTCAATTTCCCATACTGTAACCAGAGTGATTTTGGAAAGAGCAACACCTTTCACTCTGAAATAACCAATGCTTTACGTACAAGTACTTGTTTAAAAAAAAAAAAGGCAGTTCAAATGTAAGGCAGTTCGAAGAAACCTCCATATGCAAATAAGAAAATCCAAGGCCAGAAGAATACTGAAACCATGTACCCAAGGTCAGACAGAACTGAGGTCAGAATTGGAATTCACTGATGGCGCAGATGGGCCTCTTTTCAGTAAGCCACATTGCTTCTCCCAAATATGTAGCTCATTCTCAGTGTGATCGATGGAAGACAAATGAAGTGGTTTGGACTGGTCTAGAGCCTGCTTTCAGGGCCACAAAATATTCCAATAGATTGCCCAGAGACAAGAGGGGTGAGAACCCGGCCTGAGCTGATGCACTAAGGGTCACTCGCACATAGATTGAGCTTGTAGGTCAGAATCTACCTTCTCTAGCCAACCAGAGGACAGGGGCGGCATTCCAGATCCAGGACTATGTGATCCACATGGGGAGCATAGGATTTCACTGGTTGGATGTGCAAGACTTGTGTTTTCCACGGTTCCCCGTGCACCTGCTGAAGAAGAGTGACGATGCGAGTCTTTGCCGATTCTGCCCATCTGTGCCACTCTGGTTTGATGGCCGCTGACAGCACTTTTCTCCTGGGATCCCTGGGAGCTTCATGTTCCCATTGGTTGATGATAATTTGCTGAGGATAAGGCCAGTGCTCCTTCCCCATTTCACTGATTCCAGCAGGCTGGCGAGTCTTCCCGGGGAAAGATTCTACATTTTGGTGGATATGCAAAATGCCCCCAGTGTCCTTTCTTAGCACTTGGCAGGCAATGGGCCAGCCTTCTTCAGAGCTGGGAATCAGCCCCAGGTTCACCCTGTCTGCAACGTTTGAGAGTTTCAATTTTCTATTATCCCCAAAGTGTATTTGGCACCGATCTGCTACTCCATTAATCTCAAGGTTATTTCTCAGAGCGACTACAGCATGGGGGTTCCACTCACAGGCATGGACGAAGGCAGCACCAGCATGAACTAGGAAGGGCAACGTAAAATAACCAATCCCTGCATAGAGATCCACCAGCACTTGTCCAGCACAGGGCAGCGATGCCACTCGGAGCTTCTCAGTGATGTTTCCGAAGGAGAACATGCACTGGGTTATGTCAAATTTATATCGGATCCCATTATCCACGTGCTCAACCCGGCCATCGTCGCCCAGCAGCAATGTCACTGTTGGAGTTCGAGTGCCATTGGGTGATACCCGTCCCCGTTTGGCCAAACGCTGGACGCCAAGTGCCGAAGCAACAATCTCCCAGAGTTCTGGTTCCAGATTTTTCCACTGCTTGGCTTGGAAACAGTCCTCACTCAGCAACAAGAGGTTACCGTGCCGTTGCCAAGATCGAGGCAAATCAGCCTCCAACTCAGCCGACCACGTCACTCCTCGAGCCTCTACCCAGCGACTCACCTCAAGACACAGCCTTTGGGCGGGTGAACAACCCTGGGCCTTCTTTGAAGGAGCAGGATCCAAGAGCTGCGTTAGCGTGCAGGTGCTGCCTGGAGCCACACGATTCCTCAGCTCCTGCAGGTGCTGCTCAGGGAGCGCCTCTCCCCGCACGGGTAGCGCCACGGTGCCATCCGGCATCTTTTCCACGCGGTGCTGTGTGTCCAAGAGTTTCTCCTTCTCCAGATAGTCCCTGTATCGCTGGGTAAACCGAGGCTCGGTCACAACTGCGACAACAGCCACGGGCTTCCCGCCTCCCCTTTCCATATTCGTGGCCTCACATTTCTCCGGATTCCCTCCGCAACACTCTGCTCAGAGTCCACTCACCTCCCGGGGTCCATTCACAGCCACAGCAGGAAAAGAGGCGTGCACGACAATGAACCGGAACGGAAGTGACGTCAAACTTGCGGGCCGGAACCAGGTGTTGTTGAGGCTCCAGTAGACGATTTGCGTCATCGTTGCCTTGGTGAAGTCGGTACTGCCATCTTTATTGTGACGACCCATTAGTTGCTTTACCCACTTAAACACTTTAAATTAGTGGGTATCCTCCAGAACCCTCGTGCACTCTCTTCAGTGCTGCTCACGAATCCAAAGGGGGAAGTGAAGCTGGAATAATGGGCCGACTTTGGGGGACGGAGTCCCACATGCTGCTCTCTCAGGTCAGCGTCAGCAGCCGCCTTATTTGCTGAGTGAAGAGTATGATGTAGCTTGCTTCTTTATTCCTTTTCATTGCAAAGATAGTCGTCACTATCTCACTGTCCAGCAGTAAAGGAAACGAGGGTTTAAGTCAGAAGGGTCTGAGTTCAGAGAAATCATATCACCTCTCAGAACCAGAATCTTCATCTATAAATGGGAATCATGTTCACTTCTCAAATCAATGCTATAGTGGTTAGAGATATGTAAAATACTTTGACCCCTGGCTAGTGAAAAGTAGATACTCAAGAGATACAATGTAACGACGAGTTAAAGTGGCAGACAGCAGATATTTACCACTTGAAATGCTTTGATATCTCTAATGAGGGAAGACAAAGGGGAATTCCCCTGCCTATAACTTAAAATAATTGAAAAGAATTGTAAAGAAGCCCTGCCTTTTTGGCTTTCCTCGCACCATTCTACAGGTTAGGTCATTGGGACCCAGGGCGCTTAAATATTGAAGTCCCCAATGCAGATGTCTGGATGGGAGGCACGAGCTATGGCTAACACTTTCTTGTCTCTTCTTTCCTATTCATTATCCATCAGAGTTGTTCTTGTTTTCAGTTTTTCTCTTGTTAAAGGCTCAGAAATGGAGAAAACATCGACCAGGACAGAGCTAAAAACCCTCTGGGTGCCCCATGTACCTTTGATGCCCACCACTCTCTATGTGCCACTCAGTGGCTTCTAACTGCAAGCATTTAGGAGCCTTGGCCTGTGGCTTTCTCTGCTAACCAGAATTATTTTATTCCAAGTCCAGGGTAGACTAGAGATGCTGGGGAATTAATGCCCCCCCCCCCCCGCGCCATCATCTGTCAACCAGTGAGGGATGTGGATTGGTAAATAAATTCCCACTGAAAAACAATTCCTGCCTGCCCTTTGTTCAGCAAGTAAGCTCCTTGTCCTGGCCCACCAGACTGTGCATGATCTGAGACCTAAATCTCATCCTGAGGAGGAAATGTTCCCCAGGCTAAACATTCTCTTGGGACTCCAGCTTCCAGTCTTTCTAGTGCTTTTACCTTTGTGCTCGCTGTTCCTTTGTCTGAAATGCCCTCCTCTAGATGGTCAACGGCTGGGGATTTGCCTTGCGGTCATCTTTTTGTGGGGCCTTTATTTCATACTGTCTCTGAAAGTGTCACTTTCTTCCACTGTTCTGTCTCTTTAAAGCTTTGTTAGTTTCTTCTTTAGCCCTCGCTTGCTATTTACTTTTTTACTCTTTTTTTAAATTTATTTTTTATTGATTATGCTGTTACAGTTGTTCTATTCCCCCCCTTCATTCCCCTCCACCCTACCCCCCGTCCCCACCATTACCCCCCCTTTAGTTTATGACCATGTGTCTCAAGTTCTTTAGATTCTATATTTCCCATACAATTCTTGCCCTCCCATCTATTTTGTATCTACTGTCTACGCTACTTATTTTCTGTACCTTCTCCCCCCTTCTCCTCCTCCCACTCCCCTGTTGCTAACCCTCCTTGAGATCTTCATTTCTATGTTTCCACTCCTGATCTAGCTGTCCTTTTAGTTTGCTTTTGTTTTAGGTGTGGTTGTTAATAACTGTGAGTTTGTTGTCCTTTCACTGTTCATGTTTTTTTAACTTCTTTTTCTTAGATAAGTCCCTTTAACATTTCATATAATAAGGGCTTGATGATGATGAACTCCTTGAATTTGATCTTATCTGAGAAGCACTTTATCTGTCCTTCCATTCTAAATGAAAGCTTTGCTGGATAGAGCAATCTTGGTTGTAGGTCTTTGGATTTCATGACTTGGAATACCTCTTTCCAGCCCCTTCTTGCCTGTAAGGTCTCTTTTGAGAAATCCTCTGACAGTCTGATGGGAACTCCTTTGTAGGTGACTGTTCCCTTAGCTCTTGCTGCTTCTAGGATTCTCTCCTTCATTTTCATCTTGGTTAATGTAATTACGATGTGCCTTGGTGTGTTCCTTCTTGGGTCCAACTTCTTTGGGACTCTCTGAGCTTCCTGGATTTCCTGGAAGTCTATTTCCTTTGCCAGATTGGGGAAGTTCTCCTTTATTATTTGTTCAAATAAGTTTTCCGCTGGTGGCTGTTCCTTTCCCCCTTCTGGTACCCTATAATTTGGATGTTGGAGCGTTTAAAGATGTCCTGGAGGTTCCTAAGACTCTCCTCATTTTTTTGAATTCTTGCTTCTTGACTCTTTTCTGTTTGGCCATTATTTGCTTTCTTCTGGTCCACTCCATTGATTTGAGTCCCAGTTTCCTTTTCATCGCTATTGGTTTCCTGTGCAATTCCATTCATTTCAATTAGTTTCGCCTTCATATGTTTGTCTAATTTGTGGCTATAATCAACCAGTTCTGTGAGGATCCTGATCACCAATGTTTTAAACTGTGCATCGGAGAGTTTTGCTATTTCTTCATCACTTAGATTTATAGGCTCTGGGGCTTTGAGATCTTGAGCCATTTTTGGTCTGTTTGCTCCCGTTAAGTCTGAGGAGCGGAGCCTTGGGCTCCCGGGTCGCTGGGTTGTGACTCTGTACGTGGGGGCGTGGTCAGAGCGGAGAAATGGCGGCCCCCTCTGCTGTTACTCACGGCTGGGTGACAAGCAGAGCCTTAGGTTGTTCACCAGGGCAGGGCCACTTAGGTCGCTGGATTATGACGCTGTATGTGGAGGTGGGGTCAGAGCAGGGAAATGGCGGTGCCCTCCGCTGCCCCTTGCCACTGGGGCTGCTGGCTCCCATCCAATCGCCCACTCCCTCGCTTGTCTATCCACAAACGAATGCGTGACCACAGTCAACCCGCAGCCCTGCTCCCTCGCTGTTTCCCCACGGTCGCTGAGTTGCCCACCAGGTCCAACCCTGCGCCTGGATTCCGCGCGCTTTAGTCCGTCTGACCGAGTTTTCCTGTGCTACCCTGCTCTGCCAGCTGCTGGTTTCGCCCCTCTTACCGGTCAGGCTGAAGAATTTGTTGTTATCAGACTTCCGAAAAGTTCAATTTTCTGTGTTGTGGCTGTGTTTTCTGTTGCTATTATTTAGTTGTCTCTAAACTTGGTTGTGCGAGGAAGCACGGCGTCTCCACCTATGCCGCCATCTTGGCCTGCCTCCTGTTTTCTTTTTGCTACTTTTTTACTCTTAAATAGCTGTCTCTCCAGTAGCAAATACTCTTGTCATAAACAGGGGATGTTCTTTCCCTATTTACTGCCATATCCCCAGCATCTTGTATAGTTCCCAGTCATAAGTCACTGTTTGGCAAATATTTATCTATTAAGAGACTGACTACTTTGAGGAAGCAAAAGACTTGAGCAGGTTCATACCCATTCAAAGAGTACTCTAATCCATGAACGCGGAGATGATCAGAAATTCAGACTAAGACTGATAGACTAAAATACTCTTGCTTTTTTATTTAAAGCTATATATGAAATGTTAAATAAATTATGATACATGCTTTAGATGGAAATATTATACAGTTATCATAATTATAAGAAATTGTTATCACATGGGAGGTTACTCCCTATGCAGTACTGAATTACAAAATATACGTATGTGCCCTAGGTGGTGGCAAATTTTTGTTTATGTATTTAATCAAGTTTATTAGGACCAGCTCAAAAATGGGAACGTTGATTCACAGTAAATTCCTGTAGGTGATATAATTACAGGTGATTCCATGTTCTTTGGTACTTTTTTTTCTCTAGTGATAAATTGTATGTGGTGAAGAAATGTTATTTATATGTTAGAAAAATCTTTAGAAAATGTATGGCGCCGTGAGGAAGTTATTTTCCAGGGCCCAAACAAACGGAAACTCCCTTTAGGCTTATCTGTAGTGGGAGATGGGAGAAGTCTTCTGTTACAATGTTTTATTTTTCCTCTAGGTTCCCTTCTGTACCAGTGTCATTCAGACACCTGGAAGACTAATTGATGTGCTAAGCTTGTGTTCTCCCTGTTCCTCTTTAGCTTGTGAAATGCCCCTGCCACTCTCCTAGATGCTCATGTCACAAACAGGGACTTTTCTTTTGCTTAGGCCTCTCACTTGTCCCCAGTGCTCACAACAAAGCCATCTCCATTTTTAATGTATTTTACCTGGTGCATCGTTCTCCAGAGCATCCCTTCTCTCTGCCCCAGTGACAGTGCCCTTGTCTCCAACTTTTCTTACAGCTTCCCAAGTGGATGTCCCACCTTCGCTTATAAGTATTAATATGCTTTTATTATCATTTTTATTTAGTTAGATATTTCTAAGGAGACACATATTTCTATAGAAAACTGTGTTATGAAAAGTGAAACCATTGTAAATGAATCTGTTTGTAATTTGGGATTTGCTTATCTGGCTTTTACATTTTTGAAGACATGCCACTGAACTTTATATGTTCCAGGTAATCTGTGATCCATAAATGGTAGGAATGAAAAAATACATGACCCCTGCCTTCAAGGAATTGATAGAAAAGTAGGCATTTGATAAGTACTTACTGATTTATGATGCATTGACCTTTGAGGCCTTAATAACCTACCCACCCAATTCACACCTTCCTGATATCCTATAGACACCCAAAGGGTAATGGTTTCAAAGGTACCTAATTAACAATAAAAGATTAGTGCAGACGCTGGCAAAATATGGGGGTCATTAAGTACAACCTAACCATTCAGATAATAATATTTTATGTGCATACTTTCTGAAAAAAATACCTTATCACTTTACTCTAGTCTTAATCACCTTCTCAGTTATA